GGCCGCGCCGGCCGCCGCCAGTGCAGGCACGGCCGCGCGCGGCTCCGATGCGGACGGTGCCGCGGGGCCGATCGCCGCGGCCGCTGACGAGGCGAGCGGCCTGGGCAGCTTGCTCAAAGAGATGCCCCAGCGACTCGTGATCCGTGGGCCTGCCGAGCCCGCAGAGGCGCATGTAGATGCGCCTGCAGGGGCGTCCGCGGCTGCGCGGCGCGCTGTCCCGGGGCCGGGCGACCGCAGCCCGGACGCGAAAGCGGCGGAGTGCGAGCGTGCGGCGCGCGGCGCGGCCACCCCAGGGCCCGAAGGCAGCACCAGCAGCGGCGGGGCCGGGCGCTCGCGGCGCGGCGGCGGCAGGGCGGTCCGGGAGTCGCTCTCGCCCGGCACCGCGCAGCAGCCGACCGTGCAGCGAAGCCCGTGGGGCGCGCTTGCTGAAAAAGCGTCGGCGCCCGCGCTGGCCGCCGCGGCGGCGGGCGGCGCCGCGTCGGGGCAGCAGCCGGGCGGCGGCAGGCGTGCCAGCAGCGGGCCGGGGCCCTCTGGAGAGACGCGCGGCAGTGCGTATGCGGCCGCATCGTCGGTCGACACCGCAAGCAGCAGGCGGGTGGCTGCGGCCGCCGTTTTCGCTTCGCCGGTGCTCTCGGCAGGTGCAGTGCCGTTGAGTTTGCGGGGGCTAGCGCCACGGCTGCAGCAGCAACCACCTCCGCTGCCACTTCAGCCGGCGGTGGTGCAGCAGCAGCAGCAGCAGCAGCAGCAGCCGCCGCAGCAGCAGCGCTGGCCCCCAAGCGCACAGCCCAGCCCGGCCGCAAGCGGCAGCGCGGGCGGCTCCCGCGACCTCCAGCAGCCGGCGCGGCCGCCCTCCAAGTTCGCGCGCACCGGCCAGTCTGCGCGCCCGCGCGCTGGATCGCAGCAGCAGCTGCAGCAGCTGGTGGAGCTCCAGCAGCAGCAGCTGCTGCAGCTGCAGCAGCTGCTGATACTGCAGCAGTCGCAGCAGCTCGGCCAGCAGCAGCAGCATCAGCAGCAGCTGCTGCTGCAGCAAACGCCGGCGGCCGGCCGGGGGGCGGCCGCCGCCTCTGCAGACAACTCCGTGGATCAAGTGGCGGCGCTCCTGCAACGGCAGCTACTCCAATCCGGCGCGCCCGCCGCGGCAGGCCCTTTTGGGACGCCGACGAGCAGCCAGGGGCGGCCGCCGCAGTATCACAGCCCCTTGCAGCAGCCGCATGAGCGCAGGGCGGCCGCGCCGGCGGTTGAATTTGGCGGCCTGGGCAGCAGCTTCGCCGGCATGGGGCTCGGCGGCGGCAGCGGCGGCAGCCCCGGCGGGCTCGGCGGCTCGGGGGCGCCGCCTGCGCTGGGGAGCGTGCTCGCGCCGCTGCTCCCCGCGACGCTGTCCGGCGGGCTCCCGGCGCAGCCGGCCGGTGGCGTGGGTGCGGGCGGCCCGCTGTTTGGGAGCGCCGGGGATGCCTTCTTGGGTCCAGGGCTAGGCGCGTTTGCCGCATGGCCCGTGCCCCGCCCGCGGCCGCAGAGCCCGAGCAGAAGCGTGAGCTACGGCGGCGCCGCCTCTGACAGCGCTGGCCACGCTGGCGCCGCCGTGGCAGCGGCAGCGTCCTTGGGAGCTTGTGCGGACGGCGGCGCGCGCCTGGCCAGCCTGGCCGACTGTGGTGGTGACGATTTCGCGGTGTCTCCCGCCGTCTTGGCGGCCGCGTCGGAGGCGGCGTCGCTCGAGCCCGCCCCGGTGGTCAGCGGCGCGCGGCCCGGCAGCAGCGGCGGCGCGCCGCAGCTCGGAGGTGCGTGGCATCGCGGCGCCGGGCTGAGCAGCTGGGACCCCGTCGACGCGGCGCCTGCGGAGCGTTGGCGCCCGATGTGCGGGGCGCCGCAGGGCGCAGCGATCGCGCCGCCGCCGCCAGCGC